TGTCGGAATAGCCACTTAGAGATTTTGTAGTTCGGTGCACCGATTAATGATATTATCGGTCACAGAGGAACTTCCGGTTTGTGAACCGTGTTCTTTGCACATTTTTCTCAATTCTGACGACAAACTGGGGATCCAATATCGAAAATTTACTGAATGAATTTACTGATTTTCCCAAAGGACACCTTTCTTTGAAAATAAACATACTGTTTGACTGCAGGGCAAAATACTTCTGAGAAGACTCGGCCATTCAGTCAAATATAGGTTGGCCGGTTACTGCACACATACGCTGACGCCATTTTCGTACCTTCCGAGAATCGAAGGCAGACATTAAACTGCTTGCCATTTCCGAAATACAAATAACCTAGCCGATACTTGTCCTAGAGTCTTATGGGTTTGCAATAACTTACTGTGTTTTCGGACATCATAAAAACATGTGATCTTAGAGCAAATTATTGCTTGGTATTTAATTCGCATTCCATAATTTACATTGGCTTCTAGCTTTCGTAAAGCAGATGTAACGAAGGTCATAAGCAGTTATTGGTTGGCGTTCATTTACCTAACAATGCCACACAAGGCAAAATTTTCTTCGAATATCTTGGAAGATCACGTTATTTTCTGACTATGACATCAAGTTTGAAATACAGATCCAATCTGCATAGACATGTTACGTTAAAACAGAAATTTCTCAGATATCTTGTTCTGAGTCTACAGAGATACGCGTTTTTTCTATGATTTTAAACGTACAACATATTGGCAGAATATATACTACGATTTTGCTTAGACTGATGATCTACCGTCCAGTCCGTTTTAAGTTTTTCTATTCCTTGATTCTGTTCTTCAGATAGAAGATATTTTTAAATCTTTCACCTACGGCGTGACAGAGAAAAGTGACATCATCTCGCGGGTAGTCATATATATGCCTGATTACGTTCCTTCTTTTTGGTGTAGTAAAACAATCTCCAGCTGCACAAGTCTATTATTTAATATCATTACACAAACCATTTAAGATTCGCAAAACAGTATTTTTAAAGTAAACATGCTCTCCTTTCCCAAAGACAATTCGATTTCTCATACTTGAAGTTACCTGAGTTTCATGGACGCAAAATAAAATTTTCCGTTTTATAAAAGGATAAACATAAAACGTTTATAGTTTTTATTAGTACACCATGCACAAACAAGAAGTTATTATTCGCAGCGTTTAATAACATATGAAATCCCTTGGAAATTAAGAAACTTTGGATTTATCGCAGGTTGAACAACTATTCCTCTCAATATACTGATCACAACTGAACTGCTTTTCATTAACTAGCATTTGGTCACACAAGTCCAATCGATGAACAAAACAAATCACTCTTTGAATGCGTATTATGCCTCCCCTGAATTTTTTTAACGTCACGGTTTGGGAGTTAGACAATCTAGTGTACATACAGTTATAAGGGATAACTATTATCAATTGTGTCGTTTAACTGATTCCGTTGCTGCTTCACAATTGATGTCTCTTTTCTTTGATTTACGTTTCCGCGTATAGTCAAAGAGAAGACTTCCAGAAGGTGCTTGCCCGTCTTCACGCACATTCTGAAGTTGGAAAGAATCATCTCGATTCCTTCCTTGCCCTGCCTATGCAACGCCTTACACGATTGAAGCTCCTGGTTGAGGTCATTCAGAAGTTGCAGCAGTGTGTCCTGCGGGACGCTGAGGCATCTCAGGGGACTGGTTCCACAGACACGGTGTCAGCCCGCACCGACATAGCGAAAACACAAATACCTATAACTAAGGAACAACAGGATACTGTCCAAATCGCCTTGAGAGAGCTCAAACGAGTAAGTCTGTTATGCATACTGTAATGCACTATTATTAAAACACAATTCCTGCGAAAGATGGATAATGCTATAAAAACGCAATAGTGTTCAGAAAAAATTATCTTACAACGGTTCGGAATGCACGCAGTTACGTAGAACAAAATACACTCTTGTTGTCCCTCAGTCGCTTATAACGACTACCGGCACAACTCTTGCTTGCCTCCTGATCTATGTTTGTTGCGCTCCATCTGCAGGAATGCATGGTTGCTACAGTGCTTTTTTTTAAAATTAGGTGTAAGCGACTCGATAATAAATCTAAACTTATGTACAAACATAGGGCTGACTGAATAATTCCAACTATTTACTGGGAGGACTTAGAAATTGGTTGGTGTGTACAAAACAATGTCGTGGAGACCTACGACACATTAAATATCTCAAACGATTGTCTACCATAGAAGTGCAGTTTTACTTCATCAAACATTGCAATTATTAAGGTTGAAAGAACTTAAATTACTTCCCTTTTATTTTAAGTTTAAACTTAATATTTCATTATGCCTCTGGCGACAATGCAAAAAAGAGCAATGTCTGAATGCCACGTCTGGTGCAATTAAGATAAGCGACTTTTTTAAAGGTTAATCAGCTGATAGGACTGTCATGATGTCCGGACGTTGCCAATAAAACCCCACCTAACCTTTATCCAGCATGTCTTACAGCAGAGCTATAGCTTTAAAAAGTAGGCATATTTTTTCGAAAACGCTCTTTATCTGCCCAGAAATTACCGAAAACCACATCGTCACACAAGATTTTGATTGCCTACCACTGTCTGTTAGCTTTTGTTTTGCATATAATGTACTAGCCAGTGTTCTTGATATGAAAATAGTGAAAGTATTCTCGGTGGATTTTTTGACGTTAATAACAAGCCCCGAATCAAGGTTATCTTGCGGTTGAAATCCCTTTCCTCTACAGCGCCAATTCCGTTTGATTAGTACGGAAGTATTTAGAGTGATATTTTGGTTAAAACATTGGAGAAACTAAAAACGGCGACTCGACTGCGACCAAGAGATTGGTTATTTTCACAAGAGTTTTCAGAAAGTTAATTCTTATGAGCAGTTACGAGGCCAAATGACCCGCAACTATTATGATTATTAGGCTATTCGTGAATGCCGTTTTAAGCCCAATGATGTCGATAATCTCCTTGGTTGCTGGTAGGATTGGCCACTGATTATGAGCTTACCCCTCACCAAATGCTATGATTCGTCGAAAAATTGGGCATCAATATACCTAAAAGCTGTAAATGGCACAGCATAGTTCTGTTGGGCTTCCTATAGATGACCACTTAGAGGTTTTGTGTAGGCTTGTCTAAAACCAAGATCTTCCTGAAAATGTAGCCTGTCTTCACGAATGAGGAGTAGTGGTTGTAATATTTCCTTTCAAGTAACCATGTCCTCTAAAACATTTTCTACGTAAGATTATGTATTAATAGCCTCACCGGTAACATAGACAAATGGTCTTTGTAAACAGTCCTAATGAGAATTTAATCATACACGTTGAATGTTCATTGGATTCGGTCTTTGTTTCGCTTACCAAAAAAACGTTTTTTTCATTCTGCTTATTTAACGGCACTAATCCATTTTTAGAAAATGACCATAAAATTTCTTTTCCAACATTTAAAGTACATAAAACTCCCAAAGCGACGGTCTTCTATTTTTATTTGCGTTCTTATTAAAATTCGACGACACACAACGTTTTCCAGACAACTATATTGTTCAGGTTGATAGAGAAATGTAGCAGTGTGTTGCGAAATTTCATATTTATTCGTCTGCTCCTAGTTCTTCCTTGTGTGCTCAAGCAAACTATCATCAACCAATCGTTAAACATCGTCGTTTAATGCGCAACAACCTAAGTTTGGCATTTACAATTCATAAAGCTGAACCTGACCTTTGTTTAATGAAGAAGAACAGTTTTACATGCCTGGCTTGGCTTTACATTAGTTGACGTAAAACTCTATTTTAAAACTCCGAAAACATCTCTCGCTTGTAATAATGCACTTTCAGATCAAAGGGGGTTCAGGCGTGCGGTCTGGACATTTGAGACTCAGCAGCACCATGCTCTGCTTGAAGATAAAAAAAGGCCTTTTAATCTAGAAACTTGGTTGCTTTTTAATGAAATATTTTCAAGATACAGAATTTAAAGATTTTGTTTGCAGAACTTAATGGAGAATGTCACCCACAAATAAACTAAATCTACAGAAGAAGAAGATGCGATCACTGGAACAAGAGTTTTACTTGCCTGACGTTTC